AGTTTTTAGGGTCTTATGTAGTCACACTGGCTTTCCTCAACAGACTTTGAGGAGGACATCTGGTTACAGCTGTGTAATTCTGATCTAACTTCTAGGACAGAGGGCTCCCTGGTGCTTAACTTTCTTCCAACCCCCTACTGTCTTATAAAAAAGAAAACAAAATTTTTTTGACAGGCAGAGTGGACAGTGAGAGAGAGAGAGAGAGAGAAAGGTCTTCCTTTTGCCGTTGGTTCACCCTCCAATGGCCGCCACGGCCAGTGTGCTGCGGCCGGTGCATCGCGCTAATCCGAAGGCAGGAGCCAGGTACTTCTGGTCTCCCATGTGGGTGCAGGGCCCAAGGATTTGGGCCATCCTCCACTGCACTCCCAGGCCATAGCAGAGAGCTGGCCTGGAAGAGGGGCAACTGGAACAGAATCCGGCACCCCGACTGGGACTAGAACCCAGAGAAAACAAAATTCTAAAACATTGCTTTCTGGTCCCTGGGCCAAGCTGTAGAACTGCTTGTAACCATGTTCCTGTGATAGATGGCCGCTTTGGTCTGGGTGTGAGCTGCCTTCGTGCTCAGGCCTGTTTTTCTATAAGTGGTGGGAAGAGTCACAGGAACGTGGACACCCATCAGATTGGGGTGGGGTCCAGGGGCATGGAGCAGGTTCACTGTAGGCAGGACAGTGGCAGGGCCCTAGCGTCCCCATTCTAGACTTTGGGGCTAAGCCTGGTATAGCTCATCTTACTTCAGTTTTGGCTCTGGAACATGAAGAGTGGTAGGTAGTGTGGGGCAGAGCAGGGTCCCCTCAAAACACTAGGGTCCTGACGACTTGGACATGCATGGGAACAGCACTTGCAGCCTCTGCCCAGCACAGACAGTAACAAGGATTTGGACTGGGATACGTTAGCTCCAAAGTGGGAATGCTGGCAGTGAAGGGTCCCTTCAAGTCTGATAAAAGATAATGGTGCCCTGGGGGGATGCCACTGTGTCCTGCCACTGGGCAGTCTTAGAACTCTTTTTCTCCAACTCAAGCCCAGGGGATTTGGGCCTAGAGGGGGATGTGGCTGTTGTGCTTCCTCATCCTGCAAGGTGAGTTGAAGACAGAGTAAGACCTGCAGGTGTCTTCCCAGCATCTCTCTCCTCCTCAGCTGGCACTTCCTACCCCTCTGCAGAACATCTAGCCAGCAACATGGCCCTTTCTCCTAAGCAGACTCCTTGACTGAGGGCTTGACTCGTGTTAGAAGTGGCAAACCCCTGGACTGGGCCATCACAGTGACAGGTCTGCTGGGGCCCGTCTTTTCCTCTCACCTTGATCCTCTTATTTCTCCAACACCAGGTTGCCCCTCCTAATTTCTCAACGTCACAAGTGCCCAGCTGTCCCCAGGCCTATTCTGAACTGCAGACATTGTCCCCCAGCGAGCGGCAGTGTGTGGAGACAGTGGTCAACATGGGCTACTCATACGAGTGTGTCATGAGAGCCCTGAAGAAGAAAGGAGAGAATATTGAGCAGGTGAGTGTTTGGTCAGCACAGGAGCAGGTGCTCAGCCAGGAGACTTGGGACCTCTGGAGGTGGTGAGTGTCGGGCTCTGCTCCTGTGCACCCACCTCCCTTCCTGTGGGCTTGTGGGGACCCAGACAGGTGTTCTGTCGGAGAAGCGAGCACCTCACCAGCAGTTTCTCTTCTGGAGGCTGCTCTAGAACCCAGGCTTAGAGAGAGCCTTGGGAGTACTGGAACTGTTGGACCGTTACCCAGTCCTCGCCAACCCCTGCCCCATAAAGGGCCAGACTAGGAGTGGGTCCCAGGTCATCTTCTAGACATTTCTTTCCATTTACACTTGTCCAGGCAGTCAGTAGGGTACTGGAGTCTAACACTCTGGGGACATTTTCTGACTTGGGCTGTGCAGGTGACATTCTGGGAGATGTGAGTCAGCTGTGGCTACAACTCCTTTGCAAAACGGCTACTCATATTTAGAAAGGTATATACACCTCTCTGTTCTGTAAGTAGTCACTGAGGCCCCGCTGCATTGGATACAGTTCAAGGCACACTCAAGTCCTGTCCGGAAACTGGTAGCCTGGGTAGACTGGGAGCAGACTTGTTTGCGTAGTGACAGTAGGTGTCCAAACTTCCTCTTTGTTTTCTTAGATTCTCGACTATCTCTTTGCACACGGACAGCTTTGCGAGAAGGGCTTTGACCCTCTGTTAGTGGAAGAGGCTTTGGAAATGCAACAGTGTTCAGAAGAAAAGGTGAGACCCTTCAGGCTTCATGGGAACCCCCTGGAAAAGAGGAAGCGTCCTTCTCTCCCTTGGTCACAGGCTGCTTCCCTTGCCAAGGAACTGCAGGGTGGTCTCATGTCTAGGCAGGCTCTGCTCGACTTGGGTAATACATGGGCTTATCTAGAATCCCAGTGAGGGGAAGGGAGAATTGACTTGGGCCGAAAGCCAAACTTCCGATGACCAGGAGGATCACTAGTCTCACCACCTACCTTGATCCCTGGAGAACAGCTGTTTTGGAGGTCAGTGGCCTGCCTCGGTCAGTGTGGGTGGAAGGACCCAGATAGAGGTCAGCAGGAGGTGGGCTGAGCTAAGGGTGGCTCTTGAAGGGTGGCAGGCTTTGGTGTCAAACCTGCGTGACCTGGTTTCCTCCACCACCACCCTTTCTTCCTGAAGAACCTCAGGGAGACTGAGGTGGCTCTGGCTAGAGGGATGCAGAACCCCCGTGACCTCCAGGCCCCTTCCAGACAAAATGCTCCGTTGCTCTGTTGTGTTGGATGGCTGGGCCCTTTAATCTGTGTTCTCTTATGTCCCTTAGATGATGGAGTTTCTTCAGTTAATGAGCAAGTTTAAGGAAATGGGCTTTGAACTGAAGGACATTAAGGAAGCTTTGGTATTACACAACAATGACCAGGACAATGCTTTGGAAGACCTCATGGCCCGGGCAGGAGCCAGCTGAGACCAGGCCCTGCTACAGCCCTGCCACGGAACCACCACCCCCAGGAAGCCCCTGCAGAGCCCGCCTGTGGGGAAGGCGAAGGGGACACTTCTGGATTTTCTTTTGGGACTTAAGACGGTCAGGCGTGGAGACTGTGCTTGTCAATCTCCATGAGCGCAGGGCCCGAGCTGGGGAGAAGCGGGAAGATTTGGGCATGCTAATGCCCCCAGACCTGTCCTGGCTCCTTCTCTATTAAACATGTTTGTATCTTGAGAAGTGTCCTTCCCACCTGGGCCCTCCAGAAAGACTAGCTTGGTCTTCTCTTGGGTCTTTACGTCCTCAGCCCTGGCCTGGCCACCAAGAGGAGTCAGGGAAAAGTGGGGGAGAGGGCCAAACTCAGTGCTGCTTTGGGGCTAGATGCTTCTCCCTCCCCACACTAGTGGACGGAACTCTAATCCAAGTTGAGTACAAGTGAAAGGTTCTTCCGGGGTTTCAGTCCCCCCTCAACAAAGCCTCTTAGTGTTACACTGGTTCTGCAATGTCTGCGGTGCGAAGAATGCACTTTTATCCAGGGGGCCTGAGTTTCTCTTTCGCCAGGCAGTCACTACGCTTCCCTGCCCCAGCCTGCCTCTCCTGGTGTGGTTTGGACCACAGTCTCTGCTGCCCAGGGTTACAGAGCCCCTGCTCTAGGAAACAGTTGTCAGTTTAACCCTTGGCCCCTTCGCAGCACATTCAGTGGGGAGACAACAGGCCACAGTGCCGTCACCCAGCACTAACTCCACTTCTGTTCTTGGACAGCCTCTCCCCTCTGCAGCCCACTGCTTTAGAATGACACAAGTAACACCTAGTCATAGAAATCAGTCTCTTTGGTTTTGTATTATGTTGAACGTTAAAAATCTAAATACAAAGAATATACAGTCTTGAATCTAAAATAATTTGCTAACTATTTTGATTCTTCAGAGAGTACTACTAATAAAAATCTAAAAGGTATATCCTGCCATGCTAATTTCTTTATTGTCAAGGGCTGTTTTAGTGAGGGGTGGAGTGGGTGGTAAGGGAGTTCCTGTGTAGATTTGCTGGGGGTGGAACATGACCTAACCTGCTTCTGTCATTTCAGTACTTTCTTCCTACTCCAGGCCTGCGAGACCCAGGAACTGGCCCCTGCAAAGGCAGGTCCAGACAAGTGCCTTTTTAAACCTGACCTATCTCAGTCTCTGGCAGAGGACATCGACTCTGCGGTTAAGACTTACTGGAAGTGAGATAGATTGGGCCTTCAGGAGATGGAGGAAATCCCTTTTCCCGTGAGCAGCATCAGGCGTTTATGTGCTATTTGAGTACGATAGAACTAGATGCATCCCTCAAGTTTCTTGTCCTTATTTTTAGTGCTGTTCCACCATCCCTCTTGGGCTCTCCACAAAGAGTGGGTCTCGGGTTTTTTAAATGATCATGTGTGTAGGGGCTGCGGAGCCTTAGGGCCAAGAAGCACCAAGATGGAAGCAGGATGCCCTCTGGTGGTCAAAGAGTGGTTAGGGCCAGAATGCTGCAGACTGGAAAAAGCTACTTGGTTGACTTGGCCTTTTAACTAAGCCCTCCTTTTAAAACATTAAAAAAGTTACTCTTTACCTGAAGGAAATTAAAGGTCTCTCAGCAGTGGCCCAGGCTGTGATAAATCTCAGTTTGTCCCTGGACGGCCTTGGAAAGTGATGGGCACTTGGAGACTTCTTCCTGCTGAAGAGACAGACAACAAGCAGTACCCAGAACTATGTATAAATTGAGTCACTGTTGACTGGAGTACTCCGTGCCAAGGCCTGTGAGAGGCGGTGTAGCTGGAGTGGCCAGGGTGCCCGGGACAGCACACCTGGGATGGAGCCTTTGGAGCCTTGCTTGAGACCCTCCAGCTCCTCAAGGATTCCATGAAGGGTGTGAATGAGGAAGCATGGGGCACTGGATAGCCCTGTCACCCCGCAAAGGTCAGAGATGTGAAAAAGAACGCAGTGACATGGACACCCTCTTTTTTTTTTTTTTTTCTCAAAACTAGACTGCAGGAAGGGAAGGGAACTGTAAGCCAAAAGCCATCACATCAGCTACTGAAGACATCTCAAGGTTTATTCATTTAAAAATTTCAAAACTGTTTTAGTTTAGGGCCAGTGTTTACATCTTTGAAGACAGAACTCAGCTGATAAAGCTTCTGGGTCAGCAGGTTGTCCGTCCTTCCCTAGATTGTGACCTCTGACCTCCAGAGGTCAGATACCACTAACTACCCCGTCCTCCAGTCCTTGAATTTAACAACATCCATAGGGTGTCAGGTCCAATTGTATGCCCTCAGGCAAGGATTTAGTAAAGCATTCTCTTCTAGCTCTAAACTCCCTTTCTTATAGCTGCTCCGTACTTGGGGCTGGGAGGGACAGAGGCTCATCAAAGGCCATGTGTGTAGAGATGAGGCTAGCACAGGCGGTACCAGATGGTTCTGGCATGTGCAGGGAGGACTTGGCGGGCCGCCTCCAGCCCAAGGGTCGGGCACAGGGACTTGCACTACCCGCACCGTCCCATCCAGGATCTTGCTTTAAGACACTGCTGTCCTCTCAGGGGTTGCGGCTGGCCTGTGGCAAGTGAGGTATAACTGCAGCTGGCTCCTCAGACTCTGGATGCACTTGGATTTCAGGGCCATGATTTCATCCAGCTGGGTCACAAAGTCTTCAAAATCCTGAGAAAAGAAACAGGACAAATGGAGCTTTTGTTCTGTTTTGCCCTCCACCAGATCTCTTTTTCTACTTCCTTCTCTAAACAGGAAGATTTCAGAATTCACCACTACCAGCAGCAGCAGCTGAGAAACCATCAGGATTGTTGCAATGGCACGGGATGGGGCCCAGTCTTCTGCGTGTGAGACACTTTCCAGATAAAGGTGTATTCTGATAGAAATGCCTCTGGTTGGGGCCAGTGCTGTGGCAAAGTAGGCTAAGCCTCTGTAGCACTGGCATCCCATAGGGGCACCCGTTCGTGTCCTAGCTGCTCCTTTTCCGATCCAGCTCTCTGCTGTGGCCTGGAGAAGTAGCAGAAGATGGCCTAAGTAGTTGGGCCCCTGCACCTGCGTGGGAGACCCCGAGGAAGCTTCTGGCTCCTGGCTTCAGATCAGGCTAGCTCTGACCATTGCAGCCATTTGGGGAGTAAACCAGTGAATGGAAGATCTCTCTCTCCCTAACTCTCAAAAAATAAATAAATAAATAAAAATCATAAAAAAAAAGAAATGCCTCTGATTGCATGTGGGTGTTATTAAGAGTCACAGGAAGAGGCCCCAATAAACCACTAGGAAGGCAGAGTGGTTGGGGATAGAAGCTGAGAACATTTTAGCCTGAGAATGCGGAGTATAGCACCATATTCCAACAGTACCTGTCCTGAGTAGCAAGCTGTACTGGCCAGGCAGGAGGCGGCACAAGGCCCAGCAGTGGTGTGTAACAGCCCCCATATGCTGCACATGACTACGGTAAACCAGGTTGTCCATCAGACAAGTTGCAAGCCAGTTCTCAACAGCCCCAAGTGTTCCACCAAGGCCACTTACATTAGATGCTAGCTGGCTCACCAGAGTCTCCTCCTTGAAGCCCAGCTCGGCCATTTCATCCAGCTGTTCCTGGTGTGCTTGAATGACCACCTGCCTGGGAACACCAGAGGGACACAATGATTCTCTTGGCTCCCCATCTTCTCCTGGGCAGCTGTCTGGAGCTAAGCCTCAATTCTAGGCATAATCTGCATTTGCCCAAAGTGGTCAAGGCTTTGCGCAAAGCCAGCTCATCACTTACCTCCTCTCACTTGTTCTTTCTCAGGACTAGTCAAGGGATCCAGGAGTACCAGCGAGAAAAGGGGGAGTGCTGGGGCCCTCAAGCTGTCCCCTGCCCCCCAGCCACACTGAGCGATGGGCTAGGTGCTGCTGCTTCACAGCTGTGCAGCAGGAAGGTTCTCAAGGCTGCAACCACACTGCAGCAGGCATCCGGGGCACAAGTGGAGCCTGCTGCCTAGTCTCCTGACATTTCTACTTCCTGTGGGGGACACAGGGACAAAAGCCGGGGACTGGGGCTAAAAATGGAAGGCTCTGCCTTTTTTCAGACTCTAGTGATGGGAAGACACCATGGAGCAGCAAGACAGTCCACCAGGGTGGCCTGCTTTTCGTCCATGACAAAACATTGAGCTGGGGTGAGAGTGGGGGTACCAAAGGGGCTCTTGGGGAGAAAGCCCAACTTACTGTGCTCGTGCTACAGTGGGTTGATGGAGCGTCCTGAGTGTCCTTGCAGCCTCAGGAGAGCGGCCAGGGGCCAGGGGAGAGTTGGGCTTTGCTAAGCACCTGGAGATAGGCCTTCGCTTGAGCCACAGGATGTCCTCGTCGCAGCAGGGCAACTTCGAGTCTGCAGAGGAACCAAGCTCCTGCCAACCGAGCCCTGCAGGATGTTCTCTCTCCTGGGCCCAGCATCGGTCAGCCACTTCATTTCTTTCTGTTCGTGTAGGTCCAGAACAGGGTACCCCAATATGCAAGGTAGAAAAGGGCTTTCCTGGGAAACCCCAGGAGCCACCCAGCTCGCTCTCAGCATCGTACCGCTCACCACCCACATGGTCCTGGGAGAAGAATGCAGTCTCTCTGCTCAGGCAGGCCTCTCCCAGGCCAGCCTCCCTGTAGGGCAGCTTGTCAGGTGGGTGCTGACGAATGGGTGATGGGGACAAAGCTGGCAGACCACCACCAGGCTTATCATCAGGAGGAGATGAGGACAGCCACAGGTGTCCAGTTGCTGAAGACACTGGCAAGGCAGCTGCCTCTATATCACCAGATGCTGCTGTGCAGCCCACAGCTGGTCCCACTGTGCTCTCTGGCGCTAGTCTGTGCACAGCCCCTCCCTGGACCTCATCATCTGGGTTCTCCAGGAGGGACACTGTGAGGGGAGCCATCAGGCCAGAAGCACAGTCGGAGCCCTCTTGGAAAGGACTGCTGCTTTCCTCCGTCCTGCCTGCCTCAGCCGGGCAGTCTTCACAGACTTCTCCTGGGGGTGTGGTGCTTGTGTCTCTTTGGTCTGGGGACATGGAGCAAGCAAAGCCGTCTTCCCCCGGGCACGAGGAGCTGTCTTCTGCCTGCCCAGGAATCCCACTCCTGAAAGCGTCCTGTCTGCCATCAAAGGCTGGACCTCTACCTCTTTTCTCACTCACTACGAAATCTACCTGTGGGCAGCAAGGCCTCTCGGCCAGGCTGTCTCCTGGAGAAGGCCCCGAGCAGGTGGAGTCTCTGCTCCAATCCAAGGGCACCTTCCTTGGGCTGTGGCTATGATCGAATGCTGCTCTTCTGTGGCTCTGGGGGTCCCTGGAGTATACCCAGCCTTCAGCTTTCTCCTCACCGCCTGCCCTGGGGCTAAAAAGGAGACTCTGAGGCCTTTCTGACATGCGTTCCTCAGGACCTTGGCCCCCGCTCTGATGAAGGAAGAACGAGCCTTCACTCTTCTCCAGAGTGCTCCTCTGACTGGACACATGTGAAAATGAATCTTCACTGAAATCGCTGTCATCAAGGTCCTCAGCTTGGGCTCCATCATGGCTCTCAGAGTGACACTGGAATAGAGGAGGGGTCTCATTATGCAGCCGAACCTCTGGGGGCCTGTACTGGCATACAAACCTTTCCAGTGGTTGATACTTTAACTTCTGTTGGAGGAGAGGCGGCTGCTGGAACTGCTGGTGATAAAAACGCAAATGTTCCTCTCTCTCTCTCTGATGTGGGGGGATGTCTGTCCAAGTTCCAGGAGCAGGCCTGGCAGACACGCCTGCCTTGTCCTCTAAGTGGCAGGTGCTTCCAAAGGAGCGCTCGACTCGTGACATAAGCTGCTTCTGTACTGGCTGCACAGTCTGCACTTTCTTGCACTTGGCAGGTAGCTTACCATGCACTAGGCCTTCTGGGCATGGGGTCCTGCTTCCCCATGTAAGGGTAGTTTTGTTGCCCATTTGACTTTTCTCAGAGCCCAGTGGTGTGGACTCCTCTTCCTTTTTTTTAGCCAGAAGACCAGAACGCATGGTTCCTTTCGCAGGGCCAGACTGTATGACCCACTCCTGGGGAGGACTGCCTCTGGAGCCCCCCCTTTTACCAGGGACTTTAGGTACAGAAGCAAAAGGGATATTTGGTGGGTGGCTGGCCAGAGGATTGCTCTTCCCTCTTGTGGAGCCAGATGCTACCGTGAGTGACTGTGGAAGGCCCAGCTTTACTTTTTTGGGAGAATATTTGTCCCCTGGCAGGACCACGGCAGGGCTCTGAATTCGTTTTGGAGAGGAGTTTCCTGATGACTGACTTCGACTGGTGGCTGAAGCACAGCACTTAATGCCTTTCTTTAGCTCTTTGACCCTGCAAATAAACCATTGTATAGTAAATGTGTATTCTCACATGCTCTGCAATTCCTTTTCTATAGCTTTCATGGAAAACTAAAAACAATGAAAGTATTACAAGGATTGGCAGGGATTTTTTTTTTTAATATGGGAGAGAGTAAGGAAAAGGGACATTCTATTTCAGCATGACATATCTGCCCTGCACCTGAAGAAAAGAGGGCTGGGCTGGCACAATGGTGCCGCAGGGAAAATTGCCACTTGAAATGCTGGCATCCCAAATTGGAGCGCTGCTTCAAGTCCCGGCTGCTCTGCTTCTAACCCAGCTCCCTGCAAATACACCTGGGAAAGCAGTGGATGATGGCCCAAGTACTTGGACCTTGCCACCCACATAGGAACCCAAGTGGAGTTCCAGGTTCTTGGCTTCAGTCTGGCGGCTGTCACAGCCATCTGGGGAGTAAACTAGTGGGTGGAAGGTGTGTGTGTGTGTTGTGTGTCTGTCACTCTTTCAAATAAACAAAAAGCTGTGTCTTTGAGGACATAAAAATACATCCAACATTTCATCAGAATGATCGGAAGAGTTTTACAAATCACTGCAGCCCAAGTGAGGGCCAGGCCAGGGAAGCCAGTGTCAGAACTGCACTATATCAGGGCATAACAAGTATACAGAAAATAAAAGATAAGTTAATTTGGTATATTTTTTAAGTAAAGTAGGAATTTTTTGAAAGAATGCATGCAATTTGAATCTTTTTTTTTTTTTTTCAATTATGCGGCTGGTGCTGTGGCGTAGCAGGTAAAACCACCACCTGTAGTGCCGGCTTTCCATATGGGTGCTGGTTCAAGTCCTGGCTGCTCCACTACTGATCCAGTTCTCTGTTTTGGCCTGAGAAAGCAGCAGAAGATGGCCCAACTCCTTGGGTCCCTGCACCTGTGTGGGAGACCCGGAGGAAGCTCCTGGCTCCTGGCTCTGGATTGGTGCAGCTCCGGCTGTTGCAGCCATCTGGGGAGTGAACCCTCAGATGGAGGACCTCTTTCTCTCTCTCCCTACTTCTGCCTCTCTGTAACTCTGCCTTTCAAATAAATAAATCTTTTAAAAAACTGATTTATTTGGAAAGTAGAGCCACAGAGAGGAAGAGACAGAGTTAGACAGAAAGATACCTTTTACACATTGTTCAGTCCCAAAATGACCATAACAGTCAAGTCTGGGCCAGGCTGAAGCCAGGAGCCTCGAACTCCATCCAGGTCTCCCAGATGGGTAGCAGAGGCCCAAGCACTTAAGCCACATTCTGCTGCTTTCCCAAGCACAGTATCAGGGAGCTGGATAAAAAGGAACAGTCAGGACTTCAACTAGTGCCCCTATGGGAGTGCCAGCATTGCAGGTAGGGCTTAACTTACTATACACCAGCCTCTATTTTATTCTAATTTATTTGAAAGGAAGAAAGGCAGAGAGCTTTTAACCTCTGGTTCATTTCCCAAATGCCTGCAACAGCTGAGGCTGGCCCAGGCTGAAGCCAGGATCTGGATCTTAATCTGCATCTCCCACACTGGTGGCAGTGACCCAAGTACTGGAGTCATCACTTGTTGCCTCTCAGGGTGTACACTAGCAGGAAGCTGGGCCATTAGCAGGGCTGGGATTTGAATCCAAGCACTCCAACATGGGATGCAGGCTATTATAAGTGTTAGATAACTGCTGCATCACAGTGCTTGCCCTTGTACAAAAAATTCTGAGATACATGCTTAAAGCTGGGGGCGTGGAGGGGTGGTGGGGGAGGGGTTGTTTTCTAAAATGTTCACAGGAAAGGTGTAACATGTCTGCTTGCTCTCTCCTACATAGTGCTTAAGTGATTCTGTCTTGGCAAATAATAGGTATTCTATCTCTTATAAATTGGGCTGAGGCTAATCAGTAGAAGAAAATTCTACTGAAAATCCTACTCCAAGTTAAACTTCCATTTTACACTAGCCATTGAAAAGCCACTGATGGAGTCAACTTCTGAAGGAATGTGTCATCTTCCTCTTAATACAGCTGCACACTCAGGGCCTGCCAGGTGGCGTTCCTTATAGCACTAATTACTTCAAGAACAAGGTTGAAGAGCTCAAGGTCAGGACTTCACGTGTGTGTGAGATATTGCATACACACTCACATGTATGCAGATACACACATGCACTCACAAAGCCTGCTGCCTAGGAGCTGACTTACCGGTCAGCATAGCGCAAGGTATTCAGAGTGTGTTCAGTGGCCACATGGCTTGGTGAAATGTTGGCGATCATACAGGTTTTGGCGTTGCCAACAAAAGAGTCCTTCAAGACCTGTTTAAAACAGAAGGCAGGTCATAAAGCCAACTAACAAGGGCATAGCAAATGCCTCCTAAGTGCAGAGCCCTGCGCCACATTTCCCCTCTGTCCACAAAGAGGCAATTCACAAAATACCAATGATCAATAAACACAGAAAAAAGTACTCAACACCATTAACCAAAGAAATTAAAATAAACCATTTTAAAAAAACTAGTATTTTTTGCCAGTAAGATGAAAAAATACTGATGATTTCTGTGCACTGTGAGGGCCCAGGGAAATACATGGACATGAACCATGCACCATGTACTGGGATAATCTCCTGCAATAGGCAATATGGACCCAAATATAAAAAATATACACACCATTGGTTTGGCAATTACACTTTTATGACTTTATATTAAGCAGGTAATTGCTCAAATGACCAAAAAAAGTATACATAGGATACTCATTTCAAAATTATTTATAATACAGAGTTAGAAATAATTTAGGAGTCTATAAACATGTAAACATGGAACAAACAACTATAATATAACCATTAAACATGATTATGTATATCTGTACTGAAGAACATGTAGAAGCCAGAGCTGTGTATAGCAGGTTAAGCCTCTGCCTGTGGCACCAGCATCTCACATGGGTGCCAATTTATGTTCCAGCTGCTCCTCTTCCGAACCAGCTCTCTGCTTATGGCCTGGGAAAGCAGTGGAAGATGGCCCAAGTGCTTGGGTCCCTGCACCCACATGGGAGACCCGGACAGAGCTCCAGGCTCCTGGTCTTGGCCCAGCTCAGCCCTGGACACTGTGGCCATTTGGGGAGTGAATCAGTAGATGGAAGCTCGCTCGCTCTCTCTTCCCCTTTCCCTTCCCCCCCTCCCCCTCTCCCTCCCTCATCCTTCCTCCCACCTCTCCCTGTAAATAAATAATTCTTAAAAATAAACCTTTGAGTGAAAAAGGTGTATGATTCTATAACTCTGTGTAGCTACATGGGCAGAGGGATGACTGGAAGGATGCTCACTATAATGTGGAAGCAATTATTACTGGGTGGGTGGGGGAGTTTTAAGGCCTTTTGTATTTTCTTTGTATTTGTACATACTGTTTGGATTATTTTAAAATTCACAGAAACACATTTTCTGGAGATAGCAAACTTTTTTTTTTTTTTTTTTAAGAGCTTTTTTTTTTATTTTTTTATTTTTTTTTTATTTTTTTTTTTATTTTTTTTTTTGACAGGCAGAGGGGACAGGGAGAGAGAGAGACAGAGAGAGAAAGGTCTTCCTTTGCCGTTGGATCACCCTCCAATGGCCGCCGCTGCAGCCGGCGCACCGCGCTGATCCGATGGCAGGAGCCAGGATCCAGGTGCTTTTCCTGGTCTCCCATGGGGTGCAGGGCCCAAGCACCTGGGCCATCCTCCACTGCACTCCCTGGCCATAGCAGAGAGCTGGCCTGGAAGAGGGGCAACCGGGACAGAATCCGGCGCCCCAACCGGGACTAGAACCCAGTGTGCCGGCGCCGCAAGGTGGAGGATTAGCCTATTGAGCCACGGCGCCGGCTGATAGCAAACGTTTTAAAAAATGATAGTGCTCGGACTTACCTCCAATGGTGGAACTAGAAATGTGCCAGGGGATTTCAACTCAATCTTACCAAGGAGGCAGGTACCAATGCCAGCGCACTTGGTAAAGTGATAAGTATGAATACACAACCGATCAAAAAGATAAGGTAAGTGTCGAAGAGATTTCACAAATAAGACCAGTGTAAGTAAATAATGGATAGAATTAAAAGGGAGAGAATGATCCTGCGGGGGAAGCAGGACACACAGCAGACTCATAGAATGGCAAACGCCCAAAACAGCACTCCTGCCTCAGAATCAACCCTTGGGACATTCGGATCTGGCTAAAAGGTCCATGAGAGTCTCACAGGCATGGAAAGCCATGACACGGTGGCAAAAAACAATCTAAATGAAAGATCCTGGTGAACAAGACCCCAGCAGAAGGAACAGGCCATCAAGGAGAGAGGCGCCTTTCTCTGAAGGGAGGAAGGAACCTCCACTGTGATATGGCCTTGACTAAACAAGTTCAGAGTTGGTGAACTCAAGGGGCTTCCATAGCCTAGACAGCTCATGGCAAGAGCCTCGGGTGATTGCTGACGTCATAAATAAGAGTGCCAATTGTTAAAACAACAACGGGAGTCACTGGGTACATGCTCCCCACGTAGGCTCTCTGTCCTTAATGAAACTTAAAAACAACACTACTAGTCAAACAATACCCTATACCTTGTGCGGTTGTTTGAGGGCAGCCTGTTGAAATCCTTGCTTAGTATATACTAAGTTGATCTTCTGTATATGAAGGTAATTGAAAATGAAACTCGATGAAGGGCGGGATGGGAGAGGGAGTGGGAGAGGGGAGGGCCGCGGGAGGGAGGGAGGGAGGTTGGGGGGGAAGCCACAACAATACAAAAGTTGCACTTTGTAAATTCACATTTATTAAATAAAAAAAATAAACACACACACACACACACACACACAAAAATGATAGTGCTAAGGCAGGCTTGGGACTAACCCTGTAAGAAGGTTCAAAGTCATGTTCGAAAAGATAAAATCTAACAGCTGAGTTATTTTTGTTTTAAAAATTTATTGGCTGGCGCTGCAGCTCACTAGGCTAATCCTCCGCCTGTGGCGCCAGCACCCCGGGTTCTAGTCCCGGTCGGGGCACCAGATTCTGTCCCGGTTGCTCCTCTTCCAATCCAGCTCTCTGCTGTGGCCCGGGGAGGGGGCCAGTGGAGGATGGCCCAAGTGCTTGGGCCCTGCACCCGCTTGGGAGACCAGGAGGAGGCACCTGGCTCCTGGCTTTGGATCGGCGCAGCACGCCAGCCGTAGTGGCCATTTGGGGGGTGAACCAATGGAAAAGGAAGACATTTCTCTCTCTCTCTGTCTACTCTGTCAAAAAAAAAAAAAATTATTTTATTTGAAAGGCAGAGTGACAGAGGGACAGATAAAGACAGACAGACATCTTCCATCTGCTGGTTCACTCCCCAAAGGGTGAAGCCAGGAGCCTGGAACGGTATCTGGTCTCCCACTTGTGTGGCAGGGGCCCAAGCACTTGGACCATCTTCCACTGCTTTCCCAGGCACAACAGCAGGGAGCTGAATCAGAAGTGGAGAGCCAAGGCTCAAACTGGCACTCACATGGGATGCCAGCGTTGCAAACAGTGGCTTAGCCCACTGTGCCACATCATTGGCCCCATGCAGCTGAGTCATTATAGGTCCTATGAGGCCACTAGCCTACAGCACAAAGTAAAAATCCCTCTCACAAGTTAGGCTGGCTTCATTCTGCAGCACACAGATCCTCTTCTAGGTCTGCTTCTAGTGCACAGGACATGGTGCTCAAAGGAACCCAGGGTATCCATAATCATCTTCACAGGGGTCTATACCTAGACAGACCCCTCCCCATGCCACTCTCCTGCAGCCATTACAGATACTGTTTCATTGTCTACTGGTGTTGTCTGTTAATAAAGAGGCACATTTTCACGATGAAAAAGCAAGATAAAATTACTTACAGTTCAGAATAGTCATAATTTGCAAAATTTTTTGTGTAGTTTTTCTTTTATTGCATATTGTTTTGATAAAATAGTAAGTTCACTGGCATCATGGCATAGTAGGCTAAGCCTCCGCCTGTGGTGTTGGCATCCCATATGGGCACCAGTTCAAGCCCTGGCTGCTCCGCTTCTGATCCAGCTTCTGCTAATAGCCTAGAAAAGCAGTGTACCCTCCTGCACCCACATGGGAGACCCAAAAGAAGCTCCTGGCTTCAGATGGGCCCAGCTCCTGTCATTGCGGCCATTTGGGGAGTGAACCAACGAATGGAAGACCTTTCTCTGTCTCTCCCTCTCTCTGTAACTCTGCCTCTCAAATAAATAAATAAAATCTTTTAAAAAAGAAGAAAAATGCAGAAGTACAAATACCACTTGATTTCTTAACAAGGCATCGAATTCAGTCACCCTTAGAAGCAAAAATTATATATAAATATAAATATAAAAAGAAACTGGAAGTTCTGGGGCTGGTGCTACTATGGCATAGTGGGTAAAGCCACCACCTGCAGCACTGGCATCCCATATGAGGCCAGTTTGAGATCTGGCTGCTCCACTTCTGATCCAGCTTCCTGCTAATGCACTTGGGAAAGCAGTGGAGGAGGGCCCAAGTGCTTTGGGCCCCTGCACCCATGTGGGAGACCTGGAGGAAGCTCCTGGCTTCTGATTGGCTCAGCTTTGACTGGGGAGTGAACCAGTGGATAGAAGAATCTCACTGTCTGCCTCTAACTCTGCCTTTCAAATAAAATGAATAAATCTTTAAGCAAAAAAAACATTAAGTTCTATAGTCATAATCTTATAACATGAAAAGTTAGTTTCACCTTTATCCCCATAACTACTCTGCTGGATATATTCAATGCTAACTATTTCTTCTTGGGAAAATGCTTTAAAATCACACAGGTAATTACATTATTACAGTGTTCTACAGTTTGTTGTGTACATCACAATAGAGCATGGTTATCTTTCAGTATATGTAAAAATCTCTCTCATTCTTTTTAACTGTACCATTGTACTGAAAACACTGGTCTAAGTCTTATAGCCAACCAAGAAAGGGCCAAGTACAACTATACTACCTCTTCAAAGATTCCATGACTCCACTCAATCAGCAAAAGTGTTGCTGTCCCTTTGGACTCCAGCTACTGGGTATTGCAGAGCTCTCTGTCTGAATAAGTCCCTCTCTAAAGTCCTCGTAGATTGAGAGCTCCTGGGAGGAAAGTGGCTCCTCTCCTTCTCTTGAAAGCACCTTGTCCTGCTGGCAATGAATGCTGTCTGAATGAACAAATGAGTGGAAGATGGAAAAAATGAATCAACCAGGACAAACTCAAGGGGCACATTCAGCTTACCTGAGTTAATTTGCTTTGCCTGAAAGGAGTATGGGCATGTTCCTGATCCAGTGCTCGGATACATTCCTTCAGCTGCAAAATGGAAGAACAACAATCAAATCAAGGATGACATACACAAAGAGTTAAGAGATCAGATGCTACATCCATAGCAAGCTTATTTTTCTTAAGTGAGGGATGGGGGCGGTAAGAGTTTGGTGCAGCAGTTAAGATGCCTCTTGGGACACTCGCATTCCATACTGGAGTGCCTGGGGTCAGGTTCTGGCTCTGCTTCTAATTCCAGCTACCTGGCAGTGCATACCCTGGGAGGCATCAGGTGTGGGCTCAAGTAGTTGGGTCCTTGCTACCCACATGGGAGAACTGAACTGAGTTCCTGACTCCTGACTTCAAACTAATCCTGACCCTGCTCCAGCTGTTGAAGGAATTTGGAGAGTGAACCCAGAGGCAGGAGATCTCTTTTAATTTATGGGTCAAAGAGAAACAGAAGTCACCGTGAAAGAGCTCCAAACAGCCAAATCTGGTACCCTTTGAGCAACAAAATAAATGACAGAAATAGATTATAATCCAATGAATAAAGGAAATATCTATTCACTGATATGAGAGGTCTTCAAAAAGCTCACGCAGTAGTAGGTGAGCAGCAGAGGTGTGCACATTTGAGACACGAGTTGGGATGGCTGTGTGGTTTAGACGCCAGTTGGGATGCTTTTGTTCCGTATCAGAGTACCTGGGTTCAATCCCTGGCTCTGGCTCCTGTTGGTGAAGACCCTGGGGGGCAGCAGTGATGCTCAAGTGGTTGGGTTCCTACTATCCATGTGGGAGATCTGTATTGAGCACCCAGCTCCTGGCTAAGTCTTCAAATCAGACCCAGACCCAGTCAGCTGTTGTGGGCATTTGGGTTGTGAGCTAGTGGATGGGGAGCTTGCTCTGCCTATCTCTTTGATTCTCTAACAAATAAAATTTGTAAAAAAGCTCATGGTGGCAGGAAGGGTGGTATTGTGGCACAATGGGTTACACTGTCACTTGCAATGCTGGCATATCAGAATGCTAGTTCAAGTCCTGGTTAAACTACTCCCAGCCCTGCTAATGTGTGTGCGAAGGCAGTGGGGGATGGCCCAAATGGTTGGGCCCTGCTACCCAAATAAAAGACCAGGATAGAGTTCTTGGTTACTGGCTTCAGCCTGGCATAGCCCTGGCTTCTTACAGCCACTTGAGGCATGAAAGAGGGAATGAAAGACCTGTCTCTCCTTCTCTGTTACTCTCCCTTTCAAATATAAAAACATTTTTAAAAAGGATCATGGAAAATGTCTATTACAAAAAAAAAAACCTGCATTTAAAAAGTTTTTGCATCAAAATAAACTTAGCTATTAATACCATTTCTCATGAACTTTTTTTAAGATTTATTGTATTTATTAGAGAGTTACAGAGAGAGAGGTAGAGCGAGAGAGCAAGAGAGCGAGAGAGCGGTCTTCTATCTATCTACTGGTTCATTCCCCAAATGGCCACAACGGCCAGAGCTGAACTAATTTGAAGCCAGGAACTTCTTCCAGGTCTCCCACGCAGATGCAGGCGCCCAAGCACTTGGACCATCTTATACTGCTTTTGTGGACCATAGCAGAGAGCTGGATCAGAAGTGGAGCAGCCAGGACTCAAACTGGTGCTCATATGGGATGCTGGCGCTGCAGGTCGAGGCTTCAACCCACTGTGCCACAGTGCTGGCCCCTCTCATGAACCTTTTTTTTTAAAAAAAAGATTATTTATTTATTTACAGAGAGAGAGAGGGAGAGACAAAGAGATCTTCTACATGCTGCTTCACTCCCCAACTGGTGGCAAGAGCCAGGGCTGGGGCAGGCAAAAGCCAGGAGCCATGAACATATGGGTCTCCCACGTAAAGGGAGTCATCTTGCGCTGCTTTCCCAGGCACATTAGCAGGGAGCTAGATTGGAAGTGGAGCAGCGGGACTCGAATTAGCACCCACACGGGATGCCTGCATCACAAGTGATGCCTTAACTGCTATGCCACATGGCCAATCCTATGAGCTTTTTGAAGTGTACTCATATAATAATTTAATAAACTGGGGAGAAAGCGCAGTTTTTTCTCACAGCAGAGTTCCAACTAATCAACGAAGAATGACAGGAATTCCATCAGGTAAACACCATGCTAATAAATGTTGCAGGTAAGAAGTATCAAGAGATGCTAAAATTAGAGAGTAAAAGGCTGTTATAAAACAAGGTATTTGTACAGTTTCAAAGTATCTGCCACATATATTTATAATTACAAAGAGGCAAACGGTAATTTCATAGTGGAGAAACCTAGCATATACCACCTTAACCAATAAAGATTAACATCAGCACATCACCAGTACTAAGACGGACTGACGTCACATATTGTTATGGATTGTTTGTATCCCCCTCAAATTCGTATGTTGAAATCCTAGCCCCAAGGTGATAGTATAATGGGTTGGGCCTCTGGGAGGTGTTTAGACCATGAAGGCAGAGCTTACATGAATGGGATTAGTTAGTGCCCTTATAACAGGCCCCAGAGAAGTTATTTGCCCCTTTTCACCATGTGAGGACACAGTAAGAACTGGGCCTTGATCTAAGACTGCCTAATCTCTAGAACTATGAAAAATAGATGTCTGTTGTTTGAGCCACCCAGTCTGTGGCGTTTTTGTTATAGCAGCCCAAATGGACTACTGACACGCACCACTGGATAGGACACACCTTGAGAGGGTAATGCCTTCCACGGCATTGCCACTAATAACTTGTAATTTCAATCTAATCATGAGGAAATTAACAGAAACTGAGAGTCTCCAAAATAACTGTCTGGCATTCTTCAAACATGTCAAGTTCATGAACGGCAAAACTGAGGAGTCGATGGAGACATGACAACCCAAAGTGATACAAGATCTCGGCCCTGAAAAAGGATAGCAGCAGGACTGCTTGTGAAATTCAAACAAGGTCTGCGGATTATTTAATAGTATTATGCCAATGTTAATTTTCTGACTCAGATCATTGTACTATGGGTAATGTAAGATGGTAACACTTGGGGTAGCTGACTAAAGTAGTATACACGAATGCCATGAATAATTACTTCTGTGACTTTTTTTAGTAAATTTAAAATTATTCAAAGAAATTAAGGATAGAAATAAAAGGATGCTGATTCCCTCTTTCTTGTATTCTCAATTTATCCCTCATGAGGTGTGGAAAGAAAATACCCAGCTGGAGACTTCAGTTCGGGGGGAGGGGGGGAGGACTTAAATAATGTGAAGAAGCACATGGCAGCACTTACGCAGCTCTATAAAGGAATAAAGAAAACTTCCATACATAGCCATGGAGAAATCTTCGGGATACTGTTACGTAAAAGCAAAGTACAGAAGTGTTTACAGTGTGTTTCCTTCTTCCTCAGAAAAGGGGTGAATACAAATACATAGGTGGTTAAAATCATTAGGCTTGGGGCTGGTGCTGTGGTGTAGAAGGTAAAGCTGCTGTCTGAGATACTGGCATCTCATATGGGTGCCAGCTGGAGTCCTGGATGCTCTGCTTTTGATTCAGCTCCTTGCTAATGTACCTGGAAAAGCAGTGGAAGATGTGCCAAGTGCTTGGGCCCCTGCACACATGTAGGAGACCTGGAGGAAGCTTGTGGCTCCTGGCTTTGGTCTTGTCTAGCCCTGCTGTGGCTACTTGGGGAGTGAACCAGAGGATGTAGGATCTCTCTAACTCTGCCTTTCAATAAAATAAATCTTGAAAAAAATAAAATCATTATGCAAAAAAAGGCTTACAGAAAACTCACCAATAGAAGAATTAAGCTGATAATATGTTTGAATCTCTTTGGTCTTAAAATCAGAGAAAGACATGCAGACATTCTATACCTCCTGATGAATCACTATAGGAAGTCTTATGAGTTATTATTATTTTTTGACAGGCAGAGTGGACAGTGAGAGAGAGAGACAGACAGAGAGAAAGGTCTTCATTTGCCGCTGGTTCACCCTCCAATGGCCGCCACACCGTGCTGATCCGAAGGCAGGAGCCAGGTACTTATCCTGGTCTCCTATGGGGTGCAGGGCCCAAGCACTTGGGCCATCCTCCACTGCACTCCCGGGCCACAGCAGAGAGCTGGCCTGGAAGAGGGGCAACCGGGATAGAATCCAGCGCCCCGACCGGGACTAGAACCCGGTGTGCCGGCGCTGCAAGGCGGAGGATTAGCTTAGTGAGCTGCTGTGCCGGCTATTATTTTTTTTTTTTTTAAATGGGATGCTGGCACTGGAGGTGGCGACTTTACCTGCTACACCACAGTGCTGCCACCACCCCCTTTTTAAAGATTTATTTATTTATTTATTTAAAAGTCAGATTTACACAGAGAGGAGAGAGGAGAGAGAGAGAGAGAGAGAGGGAGGGAGGGACAGAGACAGAGGGGTCCTCCATCCAATGGCTCATTCCCCAATTGGCCGCAATGGCCGAGGCTGTAACGATCTGAAGCCAGGAGCAGGTAGCTTCTTCTGATTCTCCCATGTGGGTGCAGGGCCCAAGGACTTGGCCATCCTCCACTGCTCTCCCAGGTCATAGCAGAGAGCTAGACCGGAAGTGGAGCAGCCAGGTCTTGAACGGGTGCCCATATGGGATGCCGGTGCATCAGGCAAGGGTGTTAACCCGCTGTGCCACAGCACCTGCCCCATGAATTATTCCTGCAAAAAACAAACAAACAAACAAAAAAAAAAAACAAAAAAACAGAGCCCAAACTTGATCTAGCCTCAAGTAATATCGCCCAATAGAAATATGTGAGCCACAAATAAAAATTACATGCATAATTTAAAATATCTAGCAGCAGGAATGAGTGTTTGCTCAAGAGTTAAGATACTTGTGGGGCCAGTACTGTGGCATAGTAGGCTAAGCCTCTACCTGTAGGCACCAGCATCCCATATGGGTGCCACTTCGAGTCCTGGCTGCTCCTCTTCCGATCCAGTTCTCTGCTTATGGCCTGGGAAAGCAGTGAAACTGGCCCAAGTCCTTGGGTCCCTGCATCCATGTGGGAGACGTGGAAGAGGCTCCTGGCCCCTGGCTTTGCATTAGCTTAGCTCCAGCTGTTACAGCCATTTGGGGAGTGAACCAGCGGATGGAAGACCTTTCTCTCTGTCTCTCCCTCTCTCTGTAACTCTACCTCTCAAAAAAAAAAAAAAAAAAAAAAAAAAAAAAAAAAAAAATCTAAGAAAAAAAAAAAAAAGGAGTTAAAGACACTTGTGTCCCATATCAGAGTACCTGGGTTCAATATCCAACTCTGTTCCTGACTCCAGTTTCCTGTTAATGTAGACCCATGGGAGGCAGCAGAGATGGCTCAAGTAATTGGGTTCCTGACATCCATATGGGAGATCTGTGTTGTGTTCTGGCTGGTTGTGGGCATTTGGGGTGTTAATCAGCAGATGACAGCTCTGTCTCTCAAATAAATAAAAATAAAACCCCAAATTTCCTAATAGTCTTTTTTTTGGTTAAAGATTTATTTGAAAGACAATAATACAGAGAGAGATACAGGAAGAGAGAGGTCTTCCATCTGCTGGTTCACTTCCCAAATGGCCGCAACAGCCAGGGCTGGGCCAGGGAGAAGTCAGTGGCAGGACCTTCTTCTGGCCTCCTACATGAGTGCAGGGGCCCAAGCCCTTGGGCCATCCTCTGCTACTTTCCCAGGTGCATTAGCAAGGAGCTAGATTGGTAGTGAAGCAGCAGGGGATTGAATCAGTGCCCGTATGGGATGCTGGCATTGTAGGTGGCAGCTTAATACACTACACCACAGTGGTATATTAAGAATAAGAGTCCAGGGGTCAGTGCCATGGCTCACTTGGTTAATCCTCCACCTGCGGCACCGGCATCCCATATGGGCTCTGGGTTCTAGTCCCGGTTGCCCCTCTTCCAGTCCAGCTCTCTGCTGTGGCCTGGGAGGGCAGTGGAGGATGGCCCAAGTGCTTGGGCCCTGCACCCACATGGGAGACCAGGAGGAAGCACCTGACTCCTGGCTTTAGATCGGCGCAGCGCGCCGGATGTAGCAGCCATTTTGGGGGTGAACCAACGTAAGGAAGACTATTTCTCTGTCTAACTATGCTTGTCCAAAAAAAAAGAGTCCTGGGGCCAGCGCTATGGCGCAGTGGGTTAATGCCCTGGCGCAGTGGGTTAATGCCCTGGCTTGAGGCGCCGGCATCCCATATGGGTGCCGGTTCTAGTTCCGGCTGCTGCTCTTCTGATCCAGCCCTCTGCTATGGCCTGGGAAAGCAGTAGAAAATGGCCCAAGACCTTGGGCCCCTGCACCCGTGTGGGAGACCCGGAAGAAGCTCCTGGCTCCTGGCTTCAGATCAGCACAGCTCCAGTGGTTATGGCCAAATGGGGAGTGAACCATTGGATGGAAAACCTCTCTCTCTGCTTCTCCTATCTCTGTGTAACTCTGACTTTCACATAAATAAATAAATCTTTAAAAACAAAAAAACAAAAAAGGGCCGGCGCCGCAGCTCACTGGGCTAATCCTCTGCCTTGCGGCACCGGCACCCGGGGTTCTAGTCACAGTCAGGGCGCCAGATTCTGTCCCGGTTGTCCCTCTTCCAGGCCAGCTCTCTGCTGTGGCCAGGGAGTGCAGTGGAGGATGGCCCAAGTGCTTGGGCCCTGCACCCGCATGGGAGACCAGGATAAGTACCTGGCTCCTGCCATCGGATCAGCGCGGTGCGCCGGCCGCGGCGGCCATTGGAGGGTGAACCAACGGCAAAAGGAAGACCTTTCTCTCTGTCTCTCTCTCTGTCTACTCTGCCTGTCAAAAAAAAAAAAAAAAAAAAAAAAAAAAGAAGAGTCCTGGGGCTGGTGCTGTGGTGTAGTGGATAAAGCTGCTGCTTGCAGCACTGGCATCCCATATGGGTGCTGGTTGAGACCCAGCTGCTCCACTTCCCTTCCAGCTCTCTGCTATGGCCTGGGAAAGCAGTGGAAGATGGCCCAAGTCCTTAGGCCCCTGCACCCATGTGGGAGACCTGGAAGAAGTTCCTGGCTCCTGGCTTTGGACTGGCTCAGCTCCAGCAGTTGCAGCCACCTGGGGAGTAAACCAGTGGATGGAAGACCTTTCTCTCTCTATGCCTCTATCTCTCTGTAACTCTGCCTTTCAAATAAGTAAATAAATCTTTAAAAAATTAAGAGTCCTTATTTCTCTGAGATATATAATAAAATACTGGTAAAAGAAATGACAAGATAACTAAGACTTTTCTTAAAGTAATTCAAGCAGAGAAGGTTAAATTTTTTTTTCTATGTTGATAACTGTCAAAGCTGGGAAACAGGTATATGGGAGACCATTGTATTATTTGTTCTACTTTTGTATGTTTGAAAAATTAATGCAATTTTTAAAACTTGCAGAGAGGGAGAAAGTTTACCATTTAGCAACTGCAGAAATACTTATGTTCCTAATGGGGACTGACCACAGGAAGAGAAGGCAGGGAGAAAAAAAAAAAGAGTTATCTAGGATTGTCAAGAGTCTGACTGGGTGCCCTCTAACCCCAACTCCAGAACTCCACTGCCAGGTAAGAGTATATCTGCTGCTCTACTGATTTCCCCACCTCCCTTTACCCACTCTGGCTGATTGTAAAAGGAAAAATCTCTCCAGAAGGAATTTTAGAATAAGGATTTTGAACAACTTACAGCCAAAAGACTCTGATTTATTTCTGCGCCTTCCATCTTTGTCTGCCTATCTGAGTCCCTGGCATCTGCTGCTCTTTCACTGCCAGCCAAGTCAATAAAAGAGATCCTAGAGAAAAGAAACAGCAAGAATGATTTTTTGGGGACTATTGACATTTTTTGACCTCAGGAAGAAATACTGGCTCATCCTCAGGAAAAAAAAAAACATTACTCTCAGCATTCCAAAAGCGTCACAAGATTCTGATCTGTCAGCTGCTGTTGGAACTGTTCACGCGGACACTTCCATTGGCTTTAATCATGTGAGAAAGAATGAGTGAAATTAACAAAATATTTTTTTCCGTAAGGCCAAATGATCACAATGCAAATCACTTATATGACCACTTAGATAATGAAATACAAACTTTTGTGGGCTACTTTCCAATTTAAAAAAAAAAAGCAAGAAAGAGACTCATTACTCAAAGGTGAGATAGGCTCATCCATCAGCGTGGCAGAGAGTTGCTAAGATAGCACTAGAGAGGCAATGGATGTATCCAATTGTCTCACAGCTTCTCTCAAGAAGAATGGATTAATAACTGCCCCTCCCCCTTTCTTTATGGCCTGTAAGCTCTCTAAGATGCATTTTCTGCTGTTTCTCTGCTGATACTGTGTTTTATGTTAGAAGCAATCAATGTCCCTTCTAATAACTTAGGGTTGACCAACAATAGGTCATTACTTCATGGTTAATCAACTGATGGCACTTGAGTACAATGATTTATTTCAGGGCTAACAACTCAACTCTGTATCCCTGCAATGAAAAATTCTATGGTGGGAGGGTGTTCTGTTGTTGACAACACATATTTCAAAGTCATACTAAGGAAAGGCAGACAATGCAATTCCCTGCATATTTCCAGCTTACCTGCCAAATGTCCTCTTGGCTGAATCTTTGATCTGAATCTGGATGATAGCATGGGAACGAGAGGAGTCTGCATTAACTCCAGTGGCTCCAGTGCTGCGCTCCTTGCTGCCCTTTAAGATCACCTAAAAACAAAATCCACAGGATGACTTCCCCCAAGGAGCAAACAAAACCCTCTGGTTCTTAAGAGTTGGCTAAGAGCAATAGAGATCAAACACAAAATTTGGTCAGTACACTACAGTTTTTTCTGTCTAGGTGGAAAGCTGCCCAAACACTAAATCATATAGAGTAAGTACCCAAAGGCAATGAGAACAATATGGAATACTAATCTTGTCAGAGGACATTCAAAAGCTCAAGAGCTAATTTACTTCTTGATCTCATATACTCTTTTTAATATCTTTGATGGATTTAGACTAACTAAAAATCCCCAGGGCATAACTTGGCTCCAAGCAAGGTCTCATAATACCCATCTATCTTAGTAACTGAAGCAAAGGACAGAAATGTGCATCATGGAATGACTGATCACATCCACCTGTTCACCCAGGATGTCGTCATAAAGGGGGCCAGGCATGAGGTATAGAAACATGGAAGTGACGAGTTACTGTAATTACTATGAGCCCATGATTTCCCTGGAGAACAGTCCTCCCTCCACTCCAACTGGGAACAGACTAACTGGGACTCCTCTGGCCTCCAAAGCATGAGGGAAGGGGGAGGGGAAGCCTCAGGATTGGCCTCTAGCCATCGAAAACACAGCCATATTTGAACATACTGCCCTGATTTTGGACAGGGGGAGGAATCTCAATTACTAAGAATTAAAAAGGTGAAGGACTTTAAAAACATTATCTGTTAGAATCCCCCCAACAGCCTGAGGTGAGGACTAAGTATGATTATCATCCAGGTTGCAGCTGAGGAACAAATTCAGCGGTTGATTTGCTTAGTCTGTTGTATGGCAGAGCCAAATTCCACATCTGGTATGTCTGATTCCATGTTGTTTCTACTACACTGTGGGGCACTTATGATGAATTCATTTATTTTGGAGTGGAATTAAGAGGAAGGAAATCCTTTTTGTCCCAATCTCTCAGAATTTTAATTTATATCATATTGAACATAGTTTCCAAATCAAGCACCTAAAAGTTGAGGGTCAAACTTCAAAAAGAGGCCATAAAATATCATTTCAAGTAGGGGCAGGTAACTTTCTTTATAATTTAACTAAAAATAAATTCTTCCACAGTCTAATAGCTATGTGTGTGTGTGTGTGTGTGTGTGTGTGTGTTTTTCAGACAGAGTGGACAGTGAGAGAGAGAGAGAGAGACAGAGAGAAAGGTCTTCCTTTGCCATTGGTTCACCTCCAATGGCCGCCGCAGCACCGCGCTGATCCGAAGGCAGGAGCCAGGTGCTTCCTCCTGGTCTCCCATGGGGTGTAGGGCCCAAGCACTTGGGCCATCCTCCACTGCACTCCCGGGCCACAGCAGAGAGCTGGCCTGGAAGAGGGGCAACTGGGAGAGAATCCGGTGACCCGACCGTGACTAGAACCCGGTGTGCTGGCGCCGCAAGGCGGAGGATTAGCCTGTTGAGCCGCGGCACCGGCCACAGCTATGTTTCTAAAGATTATATGAGACTTAAAATCAAACTTTAGAATAAGTGTAAACAGCTCACCAAAAATTTAAAGAGACTAAATGATAAATCTGTTTGAAAAGAGAACTTGCTAATTTATAAAGCTAGATCATCCAATACATGAACAGCATGTTGTTGCTAATTAGAAATCAGAAGAGTCAGAGTGGAAATTCTGTATATTAAGGTGGTATATAAGTAGCTTGGTGTGCTTTATCTAAGCTCAAATGCTGGGTAGGACACTTAAGGCAAAGCTCTACTTGAACCATTTAATTTAAATACAGTTCCTCATTCTGGCCCCTCCCTATCCCTCTCACTTCATGGTTTCATAATTTGGCTTGCAAGATGACAGATCTTAGATTTGCATTGTTCTTTTTTCAAATTTTTCTCTTTTTCCCCCTTCTCTTCATTAGGAAAGTAAGACATACTTATTCTGGAAAACCTGAGTAAAATAAGAAAACAAGATATTATTTTTTAATATTTTACAGTAAGCCCCATGAAAAGACAGGAGGTTTCAAATCTTTACATTTGTACAAGCAATATGCTTGGCAGAAAAGGGAACGAAGACAGGGAATATCAGTGACTCGTCCAAGGTCACATAAATAAAATATGTTCAGACTAGAAGAAAAACTAGGTACCTTCTTCCACATGTAAGTAATTATGCTACTTCTGCTAGGACCCAGTGAGAGCTCAGATACCTCAAGGCCACACCTAGGAAGGAACTGTGGTTACTGACAGGAAGTTCAAAGGCTGACCTGGTGGTTTACCCTCAAGGGAGTCAAGAATAATGGCCTTGGGGCCAGTGTTGTGGCACAGTGGGTAAAGTCACTGCCTGCAGTGTTGGCATGCCATATGGGTGCCAGTTTGAGTCCTGACTGCTCTATTTCTTCTTTTTTTTTTTTTTTTTGACAGGCAGAGTTAGTGAGAGAGAGAGAAAGGTCTTCCTTTCCCATTGATTCACCCCACAAATGGCCGCCACAGCTGGCGCACTGTGGCCGGCATGCTGAGCCGATCCAAAGCCAGGAGCCAGGTGCTTCTCCTGGTCTCCCATGTGGGTGCAGGGCCCAAGCACTTGGGCCATCCTCCACTGCCTTCCCGGTCACAGCAGAGAGCTGGCCTGGAAGAGGGGCAACCGGGACAGAATCCAGCGCCCCAACTGGCACTAGATTCCGGGGTGCCAGCACCGCAGGCGGAAGATTAGCCTAGTGAGCCGCGCACCAGCCTGCTCTACTTCTAATCCAGCTCTCTGCTATGGCGTGGGATAGCAGTAAAAGATGGCCCAAGGCCTTGGGCCCCTGCAACCACGTGGGAGACACATAGGAAGCTCCTGGCTCCAGATTGGTCCAGCTCCGGCCGTTGCAGCCATTTGGGGAGTGAACCAGCAAATGAAGACCTCTCTCTCTCTCTCTGCCTACCCTTTCTCTGTGTAACTCTGACTTTCAGATAAATTTTTTTTTTTTTTAAAGAATAATGGCTGGCCAGCGCCGCGGCTCAATAGGCTAATCCTCCACCTTGCGGCGCAGGCACACTGGGTTCTAGTTCTGGTCGGGGCGCCGGATTCTGTCCCGGTTGCCCCTCTTCTAGGCCAGCTCTCTGCTGTGGCCCGGGAAGGCAGTGGAGGATGGCCCAAGTGCTTGGGCCCTGCACCCACGTGGGAAACCAGGAGAAGCACCTGGCTCCTGCCTTCGGATCAGCGTGGTGTGCCGGCCGCAGCGGCCACTGGAGGGTGAACCAACGGTAAGGGAGGACCTTTCTCTCTGTCTCTCTCACTGTCCACTCTGCCTGTCGAAAAAAAAATAAAAATTAAAAAAAAAGAATGGGCTTCTGGGATTCTGTTACAGATTTCTGCACTTGGCTTTTTTTTGCACCTTGTCCACCACAATAAATTGGATACCTCTGAATGGGTCTCAAAAAATCGAAAGTGTGGAGGTGGCCTTTCCTGGCTAAATGACTTTTAGCAAAGACATGAAGAAATTTCTGGTATTTTGCAGTTTTCTCAGCGTCATTCACAGCCTCCTACCACTATACCTTTCAGGGTCCATGGTAAAGAGTAGTTAAGCTCTGAGGAGTGAAAATGAGCTAGACTATGAACATCAAAGATCACTGATGGGAGCCAGTGTTGTGGTGCAGTATATTAGGCCAATGCTTGTGACATAGTATCCCATGTTGTAGTGCTGGGGAGTCTTGGTTGCTCCCCTTCCATTCCAGCTCCCTGATAATGTGCCTGGGAAAGCAACAGAAGACGGCCCAAGTACTTGGGACCTTGCCACACAAATGAAAGACCTTGATGGAGTTCCTGCCTCCTGGCTTCAGCCTGGACCAGCCCCAGCAATTTGGGGAGTGAACCAGTAGATGGAAGATCTGTCTCTGTCATTCTGCCTTTCAAATAAGTAAAATCTTTAAAAGAAGTTATCAATGTTTTATAAGTGACATACACTTGAAGAGAAGCGATTAAGAGAATGAAATCTGAGGCCAGACTCTCAAGGTTCATTTGCTAGCTCTACAATATGACTGTGTGAACTATTGCTGCAAATCCTAATTTTTCAGGGCCTCAGGTGTTTTGTTTTATAAAACGGGAATCTCATAGGTCTGTTATGAGGACTAAAAAAATGAAATACATGCAAAACATTCAATATGGGGCCATCCACTCTGGCATAGTGGGTAAAGCCATGGCCTACAGTGCTGGTATCCCATGTGGGTGCTGGTTTGAGTCCCCGTTGCTCCACTTCCTGCCCAGCTCCCTGCTAACATGCCTGGTAAAGTAATGGATGATGGTCATAGTGCTTGGGCACTTGCACACACGGGAGATCTGGAAGAAGCTCCTGATTCCTGGCTTTGAATTGGCCCATTTTAGACGTTGTGGCCACCTAGGGAGAGAACCAGCAAATGGAAGATTTTTCTCTGTCTCTCCTTCTCTCTATAACTCTTTCAAATAAATGAATTTTTTGAAAGATTTATTTATTTGAAAGTCAGAGTTACAAAGAGAGAGAAGGAGAGGCAGAGAGAGAGAGGTCTTCCATATGCTGGTTCACTTCCCAATTGGACACAACGGCCGGAGGTACACCAATCCAAAGCCAGGAGCCAGGAATTTCTTCTGGGTCTCCCATGCGGGTAAAGGGGTCCAAGGACTAGGGCCATCTTCTACTGCTTTCCCAGGCGATAGCAGATCTGGATCAGAAGTGGAGCAGCCAGAACTCGATCAGGAGCCCATATGGGATGCTGACACTGCAGGCAGTGGCTTTACCCGCTATGCCACAGCGTTGGCCCCCAAATAAATAAATCCTAAAAAAATTCAATATCATGATTGGCACATGGTAACATTATTTTTAAAACATTAATTTTTAAAAGGATACTAAAGAATTAAACTCTTTGAGCAGTCTTCCAAATATTAAATTATTTCTTTTAATATATGAAAGCAATCAAGAATTTCATGGGAAAATACATCCTCATAGATCAATATGCGATTCCATGCATTTCCCCGTATAAGCCAAAATTGGAAGGAAGGGATGGAAGA